TGATTACATCATATAATGTTGAATATACCAATTTAAGAACAAAACAAAACAAACAAACAAATAAACAAACTCTTTGAAAATTAAAGAATATTTGAATCTACATCTTGAAGGGGGATGAACCACATAGTGAAGGAATGACCAAGAATGGTAAACACTAAGCCATAATCTTGCAAACTCTACTCATAAGTCACGTTAGTTTTATTTTTTTTTCCCTTTCTACTCCTTCTTGAACAAGGAGAGTTCTAGCTAGACCTAGAATTTGCCTCAAATCAATGGTAGTGTATTCAGCATCGAATTTAATCCACCCACCCAGATCACCTTACTTCTTATTTGGCAAATACTCCTCAGAGTTTGTAAACTGCAAAGTTGGTTGATGTAAATTTACATTATACTGCAGTTGTATCATATGCAATTAAGTTATCTGTGCACAACCTTCTACTCCAAGCAAAAGAAAAAAATGAATGAAGTGTTAAGTAGTGCAGGGCACTCATCCTACCACATATGCTCCAAAGTGAGCATGAAATGAGAAACATTAAACCACTGTTCTTCTCCATAGACCTCTTAACTATAGGGTTTAGAGCTTCTGTCCTCCTCCTAGTTTAAATGAGGCACACCTCTAAAACAAGCCAGCTACGTCACTGGGTGCTCAAATATAAAAAATGATGATTTGTTTTAATTCCTGAGCAAGAATTTTATGTGTTAGATTTATTTAGAGATTGTAAGCCTATATATTATATGTGCGATTTAGGGGATTTTCAGGGATATTTCTAACAATTTACAAATTTTCCTTATAATTGACTTTAGAACCTAATCCTGTTTAAGACAAGAATCCATCGTATTGAGTAGTTCAATTGTCTGTGGGAGCTGGAGTAGAGTGATGATTTAGGTTGATGATCTCCATTGTGGTCTGGTTTTATCTATGATTAGTGATTTCACAGCAGCAGCAGAGGCTAGTTTTACACATCTAGTTTTCTGTTTGGCCTTTCTTCTTCTTCCTCTCTGGGGACTTGGTATGGCTTCATCTGGCTTCCCTTTGAGTGCTCTTTCCTCCTTCATTAGAGGAGAACTCTATTTTGTCAAAGAAATAATTGTCACCCTCCAGTTTTCTCTCTGGTTGTGTTTGCCCTTTGGAATGCTCCTGTTTGGAACAGCATCGGATGTTCTCTGTGACAAGTTACTTCCCTTTTCCTGCTCTCTGAATTTGAGTAAGAGCTCTCAGCTTATTGTCAGTCATATCATACTGCTATGTGTGGAGAGGGAACTGGGAGTTCAGTCCTCACGTCACCATCAGGGCTGGTTTCATGGGCCTGTGACCTATGCATTTACACAGGGCTCCCTGCTCAGAAAGTCCCCTTTGTTTAAAGCTCTGCTGTTGTCATCTTGAAATTTTTAATAATTTAATCTTTGGGCTTGTGTTTTGCAAGTCAAGTCCCATGGGACAATGGAGCAGAGAAGCTACTCACAATGTGTCAATCTGCCATTATTCCCATGGCCTAACTCCCGTGCAGTGCTCACAATGCCCTATGTGCCCAGAATTCCAGTGGATCTCTAATGTGCGAGTTCAGTGGGAAAGCAAAGTGAGTACGAGCCACTTAGTCAGAAAATGATGACATGGAAGAAAAGAGAAAGATAGGGCAACACGTAAAAGCTTTTCCTTTCAGTCTTTCCTTACTCATCAATCAACTGAAGGTAGAGAATGTTAGTAGAATATGTGAATGACAAAAATTGAAATAAAAACAGTTGAGTTAGTTTTGTGGAGTGTTTCCACACTTCTGGTAACACTGAAATACATACGTACGTATGAATTACAAAATACAAATTGTATTATTTTGGTGATTCTACATATGAGTTAAATGCTCTTATATTGCCATTTATAACTGGTAATGCATAATATAAATATGGATAGTAAAATGTGAGCTGATAATTGACAATTTTAGTTATTCTTTGTACTTAGAAATACATTAAATAGCAAATAAAATCACCATGAAGAATTGAGGGAGAGATTACAGAGGAAAGGAAAAAACTTCATATGCCTATACATTTAATGGCACTTTTTCCCTATGTTGTAAAGCAGCAGCTCCATATGTCATTTTGCACTGGCCCCACAAATTATGTAACCAGCCATCCACCAGGCTGAGTCCTTGAAAACTTTCCTTAAAGGCTACACAGGGGGTTTCAATTACAGTTGTACTGTTTCATTATTATTAATCTATTTCTTTAAAAAATTCAAAGCAAATATGGCAAAATATTTTGATTTAATATGATTAGTAGGTGAATATTTATTACATTAGTCTCTAAAATTTTCCATATGCCTGAAATATTTCTCAAAAAAGCCTCATTTTATTAAAGTGACATAATGAACACTAGCAAGAAATACGTATGAAAAGAAGTAGACATATAGCGAAGGCAACAAGTTCACTTTAGAGAGTAAACTCTGTGGCTCCCCTGCTCACTGCCAAGTGTCTTACCATAGTGATCTTCTGGGCATGATATTCCAGAGTCAATTCCAGGATGGATGCTGCCTCAGATGAAATTTTATGATCAGGTGCAGAAAGTTTCATCAGGAGATTCCACACAAAGTCAGTCAGCAAGCAGGGCAGTAGAGTTTGTCCTACATTCTGAAACCAGAAAGGAGCATTGTGACCTTAGGCCTCAGCTTACACGGACATGAAGACAGCTAGACTCAGACCTTGTGGGGGAAGCCTCAAGGGCTAGGCAGGGCCACAAGACTTTCGTAGGTCCTAGGCACCTTTGCTGTTGTGGGCCTCTTTCTCCATAAAATTTATTAGAAATTATATATTTACCACAGTGCTGGTATAAAGATGACTGTAATCCAAGCAGAATGACATTTAATTTTTTCTTCTCATTTTTAAACAATTCAGCTGTTAGAATATGATCACAAGCTTCTTCAACTTTGGAAATGAGTTTGCTCAGATTAAAAACAAGTGTGGTTAGTAGAAGACACAGGAGGGGATGGGGTGAGAAAGTCAAGGTGACTCCAAAGTGTGGACTTTTCTCTTTCCCAGAGAGAGATTAAGAAATGGGGAGAGATAAAAGGCCTATATGTCCGTGATTGGGAAATAAGAACTACCATTCAAACAATCCCCTTTTAAAGTTAGGGGAATAGCCATAGACCATAAAATTTGAACAAAATTACATGATTATCAATCTTTCAGTTAAGAAAATGAATGAGCCAAATTTTCTCCTTTTGACTTTATGTGGAAAAGAAAAGTCATTCTCCCAGGTACAGAAGATACCCAATCTCACCGGTAAAAACTTTTCTGCATCCCATTGGAAAGGATGGAATACTTCTCTGTTTGGTCAATAGAGCAGGATTGAGGTTAGCACCAGCCCCCCTCCCACTGGGCAGTGGAGTGAGAAATAATTATCTGGAAAGTTCTGGAAGCATACTAAAGGAGGATAACCAAGGCTTGGTGAGGTGTACTAAATATCATAAATAGTTTGTCCTAATTTAAGAAACCCGGGTTTAATTATATAAGATGCCAAATCAAAAAAAAAAAATCACTGGAAGGGGGAATATTCTCTGTTGCATACTTGTTTACTCAACAACAACAAAAAATAACTTGAACATCTATCTAAAACTTGTAGAAAAAGCAATTCCCAGTGAAACTTAGAGATAGTGTTCAAAGTTTCTGTCATGTGAAGTGGCAGATGAGCAGCAGATTACATGAAACAATAGGGTTTGCTTTATAAAATATGATCTACACAAAACTTCGGGAATACACCAATCACACAGGATCAGCTGGACTCTCTGGAGATCACCTTTATCTTCTGGTTCCTACTATTACATCATGTTACATATTCTTGATGCTACTTGTTTTAATGGCTGTGTAATATATTCCATAATTTGTCATTTATTTCTTTATGTCTAACATACACTTTTTAAAACCACACATCTGCTGATAACACCAAGGTCCAGGATTTGATCTCTGTGCCAGCCAGCCACATAGGAAAAAAAAAAAAAAGCACACAAAAACCATACATATGTGAAGAACACCTTTTTGCAGCACAAATAGATATATTATTTTGGGTTATTGTCTTTCTAAAAATTCTCTTCAGTGAAATTAATAGTTTTTTGGTATAAACTTTTTTTTTAATGTGTTTTTTTTTTAGTCAAAGACACTTTCGTGGCTCTCTGTGGATCCTTTACAAGACAGTGTCCTCTCTTACAACCGGTCACTATGTAAAAGGAGTGTGTCTTAGGTCTTAGTTTGAGAACCGCTTTTCTTTTGTTTTTTTCAATCCAATCCTGCCATTTAATGCTGTTTTCCTTCCAGTTCTTTTGGCTAACAACCTTGCTGCTTATACTCCTATATGCATCTTACGGACTTTGTCTTTGGCTACGATCCTCTTGGTCTCCTTGCTACAACTTTGGATTCTTTCAACATACCTCTTCCATCTACTTTTGAAAAATCCCCAGCTCTGTGTTGTCCAGCGAGTGCTCCTACACACAGTGCTAGCACTAGGCTTGCTTTGGCCTCACAGTTGGGGACTGAATAATGACATGATGACAAGGTCTCAGGGCACCTTCCCCCAAAACACAAGGAATTCTAAACCTGATAAACATTAAATTCAGATAAGAGGGGATACCATCCTGGAGGTGATGATATTAAGCCTCATAAACCACGGGCAGAGGCCCTGAGGAGGCTTCTAGTCCTAGGCTCACTAGCCCAATCCTGGCACTCAGGATTTCAATTCCAGGGCACTAGAGTAGTGGATGGATGGCTAAAGAAGGATTTGCTTGTAAACCTACACAGATGCCTGGTTTCTTCATGTAAATGGATGACTTCATAGTCAGCCAGGCTTGTGATTTTTGAGGGGAGGTAGGTAAGAATAACCCTTGGTTCTGGAAAGATATGCCATCACGCATACACATATTTAAGTATTTTTGACCATATCATTTTAGATGTATTGTTTCTGCATCTCATGGACCTTCCACAATTCTAGCCACCTCAGCCATGGAAGGAGAAGGCACTGCTTTATATATGAAGTTTTAGGAAGAACCTCTAGACCCTTCCACTTCAACAGATGAGCTCCCTGAAGGACATCCCCATCAGTTTTGCTGAGATATTGGCTCAATGTATGTGGCTAGAAGGCCATCTGCTGGACAGCCCAACATGAGCCTTTAGTGCTAGGTGATTTCTCAAGATTACTTTGAAGAAGGTGAAGGAATGTCTAGAGATCACAGCTTGGTTCTCTCAAGACACGGGACAGTATAGAAACTACTTAGTACCGAGGTTTGCCATGTAAACTTTTTTCATTTTTCATGTTTCCCTTTAATAGCTCTTTTAAGCAAAATGTAAGTCACAAAGTCCTTATGACATTTGTGGAGTAAATTATAATAGTATTGAAAATTCTGCTAATTTTGCTAAATGATTTCCCCATTTTGAGTGAAAACATTTCTTAGCCAGACAAAAAGAAGCATGACTAGGAAACTCCTATCTCATTTTCACTTTATAAAAATTAAATAAAACAGTATATAAATTGCTATCTTTGGGAAAAATATATCTTCTTATTAACAGAGATAAAAATCAGGAAACCAAATACTCTGTAGATCATTTACCTTTTGTCTCACTGATTTTTTTTTAATGGAAAAATATTTATTAAAAATATACACTTTGTTGAAATAAATTGCCACTAAGAGTAATAACATGTCTGAAACAAAAACCACAGGATAAAGTGGGGGCTAAGTTACCTGAGCAATTTTAGTTTTGTTTCTTTGCAAGACCTTGTGTAGGCATTCTCTATCAGAGGAAGAAGTCAGGAGGTAGTGACTCTCATGCTTAGTACACTTTGCAGGTTTATCTCTTTCAAATTCTGCGGAGTTAAGGAAAAGAGTTTAAGGTTTTTATTTGATCTCTGGTTTCTTCTATGACATTTCCTGCCCAATTCTAGAGATCTGAAGGTTTCTGAATATTTAATTCTTTGCTCATAGTTTAGTCACATAAAATGTTATAATGGCACTGACCCAGAATTTATAAAGTGTTTAAGAAAGGCCATATGAAATATGAACGAAGGACATGAATAATTTTAATAGGTTGACCAGGTATCAGATACAGTTAGTTAGGCCATCAGATGCATTGTTCCGTGTACTGGAAAAGCTATTGATGAGTTGGAGGGTCTTTTGGTGGGAGAGCAGACTTTTGGTGGAGGCATTTTGAAAAGAGTTGAAGAGTGGTATATGAGGAAAGCCAAAATGTCTCAGTAAAAGCTTCAGGTGCATTCGTCTTTAGTTCCAGAGAAGGTGGTTTTTAAAAATTTTCTTTGTTTTTATTAGCTTTATGGAGATATAATTGACATATAACATATTTAAATTGTACAACTTGATAAATTTTTATGTATGTATATCCCCTTGAAAACAGTCCCACAGTCAGAAAAGTGAATATAGTGCCTTCAAATGTTTCCTAATGTCTTTTTGCAAACCTCACACCTGCTCCCTGTACTTACCCCCTGATTTTAAGGCAACCACTGATCTTCTCTCTGTCAAGTTTGTATTTTCTATTTTATATATGTGGAGTTGTACATTATGTACTCTTTTTTTTTTGGTTTGGCTTCTTTTACTCAGCAAAACTATTGAGATTTATCCATGTTTTTGCGTGCACCAATAGTTCATTTATTTTTACCCAGAAATACTATTATTTTTGTGTGTATATATCACAATCTCTTTATCTATTCACCTGTTGATGGATATTTGAGTCATTTCCAGCTTTTGGCTATTTCAAACAAAGGTGCTATGAATGTTCATGCACAAATGTTTGTACAGATATTTGTTTTCATTTCTCTTAAATAAATACTAAATTGTGGAATGACTGGAACACATGATAGATATACATTTAACTTTTTAGGATTCTGTCAAATTTATTTTTTACAGTTGTTTCACCATTTTACATTCCCATAAGGAATGTTTGTGAATTCCAGTTGCTATACATCCTTAACAAAACATGGCATCATCAGTCTTTTCATTTTTAGACATTCTAATGGGTGCATAATGGTATCTCATTGTAATTTTAATTTACATTTTAAAAATAAATGTGTATTAAACATCATTTGATGTGCTTTGCCATCTGTGCTTCTTTGGTGAAATGGCTATTTAAACCTATCATTTTTTAATTTGGTTGCCTTTTTTCTTATTGTGTTTTGAGTATTATTTATAAATTCTGGATATAGTTCTTTTATCAGATGTGTAATTTGTAAATATTTTCTCCCAGTCTATTAACTATTAGCAGTGACTTTCAAAGAGAAGAAATACTTACTTTATTATTTTTGAAGTTTATCAATCATGATTTTGGTGTTGTAGCTAATAAATCTTTGCCTAACCTGAGGCACAAATTTCTCCTAGTTTTCTAGTTTAAGGTTTTATATTTAGTGCTATTATCCATTTTGGATTAAGTATTTTAAAAAATAATACCTATTTTATTTTATACTATTAGGAAAAAAATGTCTTTTGAAAATGTCATAAAAGTTTTGCTTCTAAAAGTTAATGAAAATATTTCAACTTCATACAACAGATAATTTCAAACATAAAAGTAGAGACTAATGTAATGAACACCTATGCAGCCATCATTTAGCTTCAAAAATTAACATTTTCTCTGTCTTATTTAACATATCCACTTTCTGTTTTTATTTATTTATTTATTTTAATTGATGCATATTGATTTTACGTATTTAGGGGGTACAGAGACATTTCAATACATATATACAATGTGTGATGATCAAATCAGAGTGATTAGCATATTCATCATTACAAAACTTTCATTTCTTTGTGATGAGAGCATTTGAGTTCTTCTAGCCAATCAAGAACATAGAATTAATTATTGTTTATTGTAGATGCCTATCACTACTGTAGACCATTAGAATTTATTTTTACTATCTAGCTGTCATTTTGTACCCATTAACGAACCTCTCCTTATCCCCTCACCTCCCCTTCCCAGCCTCTAGTAACCACAATTCTACTCTTTCTCTACTTCTACAGGCTCAACTTTTATTTCTTTACCTCCCACATATGAGTGAGAACATGTGTTATTTATCTTTCTGTGCCTGACTTATTTCACTTACCTAATGTCTTCTAGACTCATCCATGTTAATGTAAATGACAGGATTTAATTCTTTTTTATGGCTCAGTAGTATTTCATTATGTATATGTACCACATTTTCTTTATCTTTTCATCTGTCAACAGATACCTAGGTTGACAACATACTCTGGCTATTGTAAATAGTACTGCGATTAACATGGAGGTGCATATGTCTCTTTGGTATGCTAATTTACTTTCCTTTAGATAATTACCCAGCAGTGGGGTTGTTGTGTCATACGGTAGTTCTATTTTTAGTTTTTTTGAGGAACCTCTATACTGTTTTCCATAATGGCTGTACTAATTAACAGTCCTACCAGTGGCATATATGGGTTCCTCTTTCTTTTCATTCTTGCCAGCATTTGTTTTTCACTGTCTTCTTGATAATAGACAATCTAACTGGGGTGAAATGATATCTCAATGTGGTTTTGATTTGTATCTCCCTGATGATTAGTGATAATGAGCATTTTTCGTACACCTGTTGGCCATTTGTATGGCTATTAAGAAATGTCTATTCATGTCATTTTCCCATTTTTTAATTGGATTATAATTATCATTTTTTAAAATTTTTGCTGTTGAGTTACCTAAGTTCCTTGTATGCTCTGTGTATTATTAATTTCTTGTTGTGTGAATGTTTTGCAAATATTTTTTCCCATTTTGCTGGTTGCCTCTTCACTCTATTGGATTGCATTCTTTGCTGTGCAGAAGCTTTTAGTTTTATGTTATCCCATTTGTCTATTTTTGTTTTTGTGGCCTGTGCTTTAGAATTCTTCATGTAATTTTTCCCAGATCAATGTTTTAGAGTGTTTCCCCTGTTTTCTTCTAGTAGTTTTATAGTTTAAGGTCCTACATATAAGTATTTAAATCATTTTGCTATATTTTAGTATATGGTGAGAGATACGGGGTCTAGTTTCTTTCTTCTGTATATGGATGTTCAGTTCTCCCAGCATGATTTACTGAAGAGATTGCCCTTTCCCTAATATATGTTCTTGGCAACTTTGTGAAAAAATAGTTGGCTGTAGATATGTGGATTTATTTCTGGGTTCTCTATTCTGTTCCATTGGTCTATGTGTCTGTTTTAAATACCAGTACCATGCTATTTTTGATTATTATAGCTTTGAAGTGTATTTTGAAGTCGGTATGCCTCCAGTATTGTGCTTTTTTGCTCAGGATTGCTTTGGCTATCCAGGGTGTTTTGTGGTTTTAAATGATTTTTAGGATTTTTTTTCTACTTATGTTAAGTATATCATTGGTATTTTCATAGAGATTGCATTGAATTTGTAGATTGCTTTGGGTAGTGCTATGGGTTAAAAGTATCCCCCAAAAGTTCATGTATTGGAAACTTTATCTCCATTGTAACAGTGTTAAGAGGTTGGGAAATCCTATTATGGTAATTAAAAGGTGGGGCCTATACAAGGTGATTAGATTGTGAGAACTGTACCCTAGTGAATGGATTGATCCATTGATAGCTTAATGGGTGGTCATAGGCATGGTTATGATGACTTTATAAGGAGAGAAAGTGAGAGTGTTAACTCACTCTTGCTCTGCCATTCTCACCATGTGATACTATAATTTGCTGAAGAAAGTCACCCCACCAGGAAGAAGGCCCTCACCAGATGTCTTCCCTGTGTGGTGAACTTCCCAGCCTCTGAAACTATAAGAAATAAATTTCATTTCTTTATACATTATCCAGTTTCAGGTATTCCATTATAAGCAACAGAAATGGATTAGTACAGGTAGTATGGTAATTTGGGCCATATTAATTCTTCCAATTCATGAACATGGGATGTCTTTTCATTTTTTATGTGTCCTTTTTCAGCTCTCTTATCAGTTTTTTGTACTTTTGGTAGTAGAGATCTTTCACCCCTTTGTTAAATTTATTTTTAGGTATTTTATTTTTTTTGGTAGCTATTGTAAAATGAGATTGCTTTCTTGATTTCCAAATGTTTTCATGATGGTAGTTGTCATTCTCTTGCTTCCGGAGGTAGGACTCCTTTAAGAATTTCTTGTGGAGCCAGTCTAGTAGTCAATTTTCTCAGATTTTATTTGTCTGGAAAAGACACTGTTTCTACTACATTACTGAAGGATTGCTTTGCTGGGTATAGTAATCTTGGCTGGCAGTTTTTGATTTTTTTTTTTAAACTTCAGTACTGTGAGTATATCCCATTCTCTCCTGGCCTGTAAGGGGTTAGCTACGAAGTCTGCTGTTAGTCTGATGAAGATTTTCTTACAGGAGACTTGATGCTTTTCTCTTGCTATTTTTAGAATATTTTCTTTGTTCTTTACTTTTGATAATTTCAGTACAATGTGCCTCAGAGCGGACCTTTTTGGGTTAAATCTGTTTGAGGATACTTGGTCTCTTTGATCTGGAAGTTCATACCTCTCCTCAAGCTTGGAAATTTTTCAGTTTTTTTTAAAAAGACGTGTTTGATGCCTTTCCCTTGCTCTTCCCTTTTTGGAACACCAATAATGTGAAGGATTGTATGCTTAATGTTGTCTCATAAATCTCATAGACTTTCTTTGTATTTTATCATTCTTTGTTTCTTTCTTTTCTTGTTCTTGTCCTCTTCCTCCTCCTTATTGTTCTTCTGTGTGTGTTCAATGAGATTATTTTAAAAGACCTTTCTTCAAGTTCAGAAATTCTTCTGTTTGATCAAGACTGTTACTTAAGCTCTCAATGTATTTTTAAATTAAATTAAATTTATTCTTCACTTCCAATATTTCTGCTTGTTTTTTAATGATATCTATCCTTTCTTGAATTTCTCATTCAGATCATTAATTGCTTTTCTGATTTAATTTAATTGTCTATCTGTATTCTATTGTATCTCATTGAATTTCTTTAAGATTATATTGCTGAATTCCTTTTCAGGCATTTCATAGATTTCCTTTTCTTTGGGGTCTGGTACTGGGGCATTATTTTATTCCTTTGGCAGTGTCATGTTTCCTTATTTTTTCATGTTTCTTGTATCCCTATGTTGATGTCTAGTCATCTGGTGGAACAGTCACTTCTTCTAATTTTCTGGAGTAGCTTTTGTTTCCTGTAAATGTATTCTACAGTGTTGGTTGGATAGTGCATTTTAGAACTGGTTCCAGTGAGTGCATTGGTGTAGTCTGCATGTGATTTCTTTGACTGTTGTCAACATTGAAGTGGTCTACAAGTGCCCTCAGTGGCCTAGACACTGTGGCACACAGCAGCTCCTTGATGGAGTGATGATACTAGGAGAGATTGCTGGGGCTGCAGATGGGACTTTGAGCCTTTGTAAGATGCACTGCTGTGGTCAGCCAGTCCTCAAATGAAGTGTGTGACACTGGATTGGGGTTGCTGGTGTCTTAGGAATTTGGAGTTTGAGGAGAGGTGCTGTGGCAATTGGCTAAACACAGCTAAAGAGAGTGGGGTTGCCAAGGAAATGGGTGAGATCATGGAGCCTGGAGACAAGCACTTGGGCACTTGGCAGCTCCTCAGTTGGGGTGGCCAACCCTTGGGGGATGTTGCTGGGACTGTGGTTGGGACCTCAGACTCCCAGGAGAGATGCTTGGGAATTCTGTAACTCCTCAGCTGGGTAGGGTTACGGGGGTTGTAGGCAAGATCTCAGTCCCCCAGGAGAGATGTTGAAATGATCTGCAGCCTCTCAGCTTGAATAGGTGACTCCAGGCAGGAATTCTGGGGCCATGGCCAAAACTTCAGATTCCCAAGAGAGACACTAAATTACTCTTAAGTGTCTCAACTGGACTAGGTGACACTGGATGGGGTTGCTGGGATCACTGGCAAGATCCTGGGACCTTGGAAGAAGACTTGGGGCACTCTACAGCTACACAATTGAATGGGTGACTCTGGGTGGGGTCATTGGCACAGAAAGCATGACTCTGCATTCCCAAGAGAGATGCTGATGTGCTCTGCATCTCCTCAGTTGGAGTGGGCCATTCTGGGTGAGATTGCTGGGGCTGTGGGTGAGACCCACCACCCACAAGAGAGACTCTGAGGCACTCCTCAGCTCCTCACTGGAGTTGGTGACTCTGGCTAAGGTAACTGGGGTCACAGGTGGGTCCCTGCATTCCCAAGAGAGATGCTATGGTGTTTTGCAGCTTCTTAGCTTGAGTGGATGATTCTGGTAAAGTTTGCTGTGTTTTTGAATGGGACCCAGCACCCTGGTAGAGATGCTAGAGACCTTGCAGCTTCTCAGTTGGAGTGGTTAACTGGGCAAGGTTGATGGGACCATGGGTGGTATTCTGTGCCTCCAAGAGAGATGCAGGGATGCTCTGCAGCTCCTCAGCTGGAGTGGGTGGCTCCAGGTGGGCTCACCGGAGCCACGGTGGGACTCCATGTCCCTGAGAGAGGCACACAAGTGCTCCACTGAAGACAGCAGGGCTGATAATTTTGGCAGAAGGCCCCAATTGGTTTGCTCAAAGACTCTGGAAGATCATCAGCATTTTTTGTCATGGGGGTGTCCTCCCCATTGTGATACTGTCTGTTCTCAGGGGTGCAGGGCGCTGTGTGGGTTTGGGTGCTGAAGTCATAGTGTGACTATTGGGTCTCTGAGCAGAATGCACTCTGGTGTTGGCTCTGATCCCAAAGTGGTCATATGCTATGGCAGCCTGAGTTCCAGAGGATGGGGGGCTCAGCATGAATTCCCTCCCTAGAATAATGCAGTCATATGGGCTCCAAAAAGCTTCCTTTACTGGGCTTGTGGCCTGCAAGGGCTGTGTGCCTCTCTTGAAGCTAGGATTGCAGGTGTCCATGGTGGGAGTGTAGACCTTTGGGGATTTTTTTTTTTTTTGCTTAATATTTCCCTGCAGTGAATCTCTTCTGGCTCTGAGCCAATCTCAGTTGGGCACTTCACTTGTCTTTCTACGCTGCCATCCTCAGGGGGTTGTCACTGTTTTGCTGAACTCCAGTGTTTTCTCCTAGACACTCTATTCAATGTGTGATAATCCATTGGTTGTTTTGGACTTTCTGTCAGAAGTGAAAGCTGGGTTACTTTAGTCAGCCATCGTGAACCAGAACCTTAGAATTAAGTATTTTTTATGATTTTTATTTTATCTCTATTTGGGCTTATTAACTTAAACCATATTATAAGTTATTATTACAAGGTATAACTTATTTTTTTGCTTATAATAATAATTATTTTTTTGCATTTTCAAAACTGAAATCAATTCTATTTTATAGAGGTATGGTTAATCCTATATTTATCCAGAGGTTTTAAACACACAAGGCTTTAGTTATCAGGCAGATGAACAAATGTGTAAAGAAACTAGGTGTAATACAATGGGGAAATGTAAGCATTGTTTAGAATATAGAATATTTTTGTTTATAATTATTTGCCATATTACCTTAGGGGTTGTTTTAGGGGTGACATGATACATCTTTAACTTATCACAGTTTATTCTCAAATGTGGACTGTTGGAGTTCTCATTTTTTGCAATCCTCTCTGATACTCTGCCTTGTGAACTCTAGCTATCTTGGTCTCCCTGGACTCCTAATTCTGTCTCTTCAACTTGGTGAGACCATTAGGTTACCTTTTCCTGTGCTAGAGCCTAGAAACTGACTCTAGGTGGTAAGCTCAGGCAATTATAGACCCAACCTTATTTGTTCCCATCTTTACATCTGTCAAGAATCATTGTCCTTTATTATCTGATGTCCAATAAATTAGGAATCATGTGTGTAATGTATATTTATATTACATTTATAAATATGTATATAGTCGTTATATTATATTTATAAATACATAGATAGTTGTTTCTGATGGGAGGGTAAATAGGGGAATTCTATTCTCTGCTATTATATCCTGGACAGAAGCTGAGTATACTACAAATATTTTTAAACTTTGTTTTGAGATGCAGTTACATTACTTGGAAATAGTCTGATTCTTTTAGGTCTTGCTTTTGTGCTTTGCTAGGCAAGCCAGAGCAGCATTTGTTTTAGTCTTGGGCCAATTTTCCACCACTACTGAGGCAGGAATCTTCTGAGTATTCTATTTGATGCCCAATTAGAGGGAAAAATATGCCCTTTTAAAAAGTCTTATTGGTAACCACTCTCCTTCTGCTTCCTCCATGACTTCAACAAGCATTTCTGTCCCCACCATTAAACCCTAAATGCTAATATAAGCAAAGTACTTTATAGATTTTGAAGAACCAAATTATACCATTACTAGAATTTCTTGGCAATGCTAAGACAATTTTTAAAAAGCACATTTTAGGAAGTGGAGCTATAGATCTTAGGGCAGGATTAAGAAATTCAGACATAGAGCATTCCTGAGACCCACACATAAAATGATTAGGAACAGATTCTTAGTAATCCTTAGAAAATAAGGTGAATTATTTTTACCATTCTGAGTTTTTGCAATGCAAAGGAGGTGATACATTCCCAAGGATGCTTGTTGTGTGATTGAGGAATCAGCATGGGAACACAAAAGAGACATTTCTGCTGCCAGACCACCCAAACAGGGAACATCGACACTTGTCTAACGAAGAAACAAAAGAGAAAATGCATTTGCTATCCATAGTCAACATTAAATATCTGCATCTGATCCTCAAGTATTAGACTAGTATTAGAGGATAAGCTTGAGTTTACAAAATCTGTATTCAAATTTTGGCTCTGCTACTAAGTCTCAATTTCCTCATCTGTGAAATGAAGATTACATATGCCACCTTGTAACAGTTATAGTAGGGAGTAAAGGGTAGCACATGACAAGAAAGAAAGTTCCTAGCAAAGTTCCTGGAAATAATAGTGACTCAACTAATGTTAGTTTCTATTCCATACAGCAGGTAGAAATTTGCAGGTAGCAAATTCCCAGGATATGGAGAAGTAGGATGGAGGTGGATTTACAAAATCTTTAATGCTTCCTTCTTCACATGTGAAATACTTAAGATGACTCTGTAAATCACTGGGGAAGCATGACTTATCCTTCTAAATTAGTCTGACTTGTCTGGGTAAATTCATTTTTTTAAAACTCAGAGCATTTGCTTTTGATGCCAAAGCTACTACCATAATGTTTATGTATTTGCCCCCACAACTTTCTTGATACATAAGCTGTTCAAATATTTAGATTTTCATCTTGACTGACTTATTTGCCCAGATCAAATGCAAATAAAGGGAGTAGAGACATAAAAGAAGAGAGGAGAGTTGAAAGAGACATTTGCTTTTACAAAGGTAGGAGTACCCATTACCAATCATGTATGTGTGTTTAAACTCAAAATGGCTCTGCCCACATGTGCGTTTGACAATCTTGTGGCATAATCTGCAGGGTGTTCTTGTCTAAGATAAGTGATCACTTTTTCTGGATAAATGCTTTGATGATTGGAAGAAGTGTTAATGGTAAAAGTCAGAATCCAAGTGAACCCTCTAAGGGATCCCAAGGCCTGCTTTGGCTTCTTTCTACCTTCTTCAATACCCCTTTATCCTTGTACCTCATGTGGCTTGACTTACTCACACATCTCCCTCTCTCTCTTACACACACACACACACACACACACACACAGACTCACACACACAGAGAGTAATTCCTGAGAAAAAACTGCGAAGTGACCTGAGTCATGAACCAAAGCCATAACTGAATTGGGAGGCTGGGAGTGATGGTTTTAATAGGAAGAAAGGAGATCATAAATTACTTTCTTCTGTGGATGTTCTCCTTGGATTCTTTCCACCCATAATTCTTTGTAAAACTGGTCCGAGACTCCCTCTTCTAGGAGGCCCATGACTTTGGAGAATCTAGAAGCAGACAGTAGGAGCTGCCTCTCCTCTAGGCCCTAGGGAGAAATGCTGTCTTTCCCTGGATGTCCTTTTCTTTGGATTTACATTACAAGTTTCTTTTTTCCACCTGATGGCAAGATCTGGGACCACCATTGTGTTATGGGCCTAAGGAAAAAAGGTGAAGAGTTCTTTTTCTCTGTTGGGCATGAGGGAGGGGAGGTGCTTCTCACAGCTTAGCTCCCTGAAGCCGAAGACCATTTACAGGGAATTGGCCCTAAGATGTTATTGTATTATAGTTTTTGCCTCAAATGTCCTTTCTGATTTTTCCTTCTCATGAACTTGTAGATGTATAATTCTTAGCAGGTGTTTCTGTAAACGAAGCTACTAGTGCTTTACTTCTGCTTACCAGACAAGATCTGTCTAGATGTATGTCTCTAGCTGGGTAGGTGTGGCCGTGTCTAGATTGTACTTTTACTTACTTTTGCCAACTAAAATGTGTGTTTGGGGAGTGGGGCATGGCCTAGGATAGGCCAAAAAAGAAGTAAGGTAGTGAAGACCATGGAGCACATTGATTATACCTTTCACAGTCCTTTTGGAAGTGTGCTAGACACAGTTACACCTCCTCAACACCAGACTTTGAGAACTTTCAATACAATATGTCCCTGATTTTATGGAAAATCTATCCAAATACTACAAAAAAGCAGAGACTTAAGACCCGGAGAAGGGCAGCTTCTCAGTATTCACTCCTAAACCTAAGTATTTCTTAGTTTTCTGGCCATTTCTTACTTGATCTTTTCTCTGTAGATCTGGCCTCTGCAGTTCCTTATGTTAACAATAATGGTAGTTTTAAGTGCTAGCTTCCAGAGGCAACTACTTCTAAGTTTTATAGCTGCTTCTTCTGGAAGTCGCTCCTATATCTCTAAACAATGTACTTTCACTTTGTTTCTAACATCAGTTTGAGACATTGCCTATCTATTGCTACTATGATAAATTACAATTTATCTCAGTTACAACCCTCCACTTTGCCCCAATCTTCTCAACTGAGTATATTATTCATCATAGTACATTACTGTTTTAAATTCTTCTACTTTTGTGTTTTAATAATAAATACTTCTATTTCTGATTTCATAAAATAGAGATATCTTGCTGAGCCCCCACTTTATAAGGTAAGTGGTTGGGAGGACTGTATTTCTCTTCAACTTCCCTCTGTCACTTCTGCTTTCCTACTTCTGTTATCTGCAATTTTTTTTTTTTCATTTATTATGGTGAAATTTATGTATAACATAAAATTTACTATTTCAACCATTGTAAAATATGTAGTTCAGTGGCATTAAGTAAATTCACAGTGCTGTGCATGCATCACCACTATCTAGAACTTTTTTGTCACCTCATGTAGAAACCCTCTGCCCATTAACTGGTCATGATTTCCCTCCTTCCAGCCCTTGGCAACCACAAATCTACTTTTTGTCTCTAAGAATATTCCTATTCTATTATTTCACATAAATGAAATCATACAATATGTAGCCTTTTGTGACTGGCTTCTTTCAAACAAACTTAGTGTAATGTTTTCAAGTTCATCCATGTTGTAGCATTTATCAGACTTTATTTCTTTTCTTGGCTGAGTAATATGCCATTGAATAAACAGGCCACATTTGGTTTGCTCATTCGTTTGTTGATGGAATTTGTGTTGTTTCCACTTTTTGACTATGTGAATTTTGCTACAATGAGCACTTGCATGCAAGTTTTTGTTTGAATATGTATCTAGGATTGCTGGGTCATATGGTAATTTTATGTTTAACTTGTTGAAGAACCACTAAGCTATTTCATCCACTTTTATTTTTGCATTGTTGAGTTCATAGCATTAACATTTCATTCAGCAACTCATTTAAGTTTTTGAGCATTTGGCCTATAGATTGGTCCTAAAAATTGAAAATCGATAATATAGTCTCAATGTTGCTACGTAAATTTGTTCAACGTGCAGGCCATGCTCACTTTAGTTATATTTCCATTTGTCATATAAATTTGTCTTCTCTACTCTTTTTGAGAACAAGTTCTCATTAGTACCCTAAATTATCTTTCTATTTTTGATAATCATTTTTTCTGTTTGTTATCTTTGACTGTCTCTTTTATTTGGAGGGTTTTCTCAGCTGTCTGGCAAATTTTGGTTGTCTGTTGATATTTCAGAATACAATGCTTCTTGATGGGGTGTTGTATATGAGCAAGGCTCACCACCGTGTCTATGTTGCTTTAGGGTGACTGGGAGGGGAGGCTGGGTTGGGCTGTAGCATATCTAAACAGAATGCAAGATTCTCTTTTTAGGGAACTTAGCAATGTTTTTGGAAAAAAAAAGAGTTCTCAAATTTTGTCTGCCAATGAACTTATTGTGGGTCAAGGGGACTGAGAAGTAGCATAGATTTTCTGTATAAATTTCCAATTAACCCTTTCAATTAATGCCTATATTTCCAGCCTTTCTTTGACTCCCAACCCTCATCATTACTTGAGCTTTCTTAACTCCAGCCTCTATAGGTTCCACAGGACAAACTGCCTCCCTTTTTTGCTGTCCCCCATCTTAGTGATCACGGATGGGCTCTCAGCATTCAGTTCCCCTGCCATGCTATTTCAGTTACCATCTTCTATCTGTTCTGTCTTCTAGAAGTTTGTCAACATCTGTAGCCCATTGAAATTCTCTTGGTTGCTGTGGCTGTTAATTTATACCTTTAACAAATTTTATTACTGTCATTTTGTGAGGACTCTGAAGGAAGAGGAGATAAATACACGTGGACAATCTGTTGGCTAAGTTGGAAATCCTCCATCCATCTTTAAATGCTGGTGTGCTAATAAAGAAAGCTAGAAAAAAACCCTTCTGTTAATGTTATAAGATGACATGTTTAGCTCACATTTCTTTGCCTGTTGAAAATGGAATAGTTTAACTGAAGGAACAAATATTCTTTGAGTGCAGGAGTTTCTCTGCCCCAATGGGCACATGAGTCATGTGAGGGATATTATCATTAAAAAAAATTCTGACAGAATAGGAATAATAGTCAGGATTGTTCAATAGGACAAGAGCCTCTGAAACTCTGGAAGATCTAGGTGAGATTATGAAGAGAAAAGTATTTATTCAGTGTACAAATGAACAGTAGTAGAGAACAGAATAGGTAGTTCCACTTAGTTAGAGATGGGCAGAACAAGTATTCACCAATTATCTACAATTTGTCAGATACAGAGATATACTACCAGGCCTATGGGTAGCTCAGCTCTTAATTCATTAACAATATTTTTTGATTCTTTTGTTTTATGTATTTGTGTCCTACTCTATTGGTTCCACTGACTTACCCATCTTTCAAAGACATTATTTTAAAGAGAAGGTTAACTTAGTGAAGTTTTATGCTTCCCTGACTGTGATGAGCTGGTTGATTCTAGCTCTTAGTTTCAATGTTCTGGAAAATGCAGATGTACTTCCACCTGGTGGCATTTAGTGAGCACTGCAGAATAGAGTAACAGGTTTTCTCACTCGTTTTCTCAAACAAATCTGTTATAGCTAGGAACCCTCAATTAACGATTTATGAGAGCCTTCTGTTACACATGTGAATTTGTATGTCTGTTCTTCCACAGTTGAAGGGTAGGCTTTGTGCAAGGGAGAATAAACTTTACTGCAGTAATGGAAAGAGAGAAGAGGAAGAGATGGTAGAAGAAGAAACTCCAAAATGTCTTACCTGCTACTTGAGTGGAACTCACTAGAATATATATACATATTCAAATGCAGAGAGAAGCATGTAAATAGGCCCTAGTCAGACACCTGGCATTGATTACTTGCTGAGCATATAACATGTGTTAGGAACTGTGCAGAAAACAGTCTTGAGGGATGAACTATACTTAATCTCTAACCTCACTTGCAAAATTTTCTATCATGAATCTTCTAGACATTTGAATGGACAGCTCAAGCCATTTTAGAAGGAGAGAAAGGCTGCCTTCCCAGATCAAAAAACCAGATGATTTAAACAAGCCACTCAGTCTCTCTTTTGAACACTAAAATAGGGGATTAGTATGATACAAATAATATCATGGACTATTCCCCCATATAAGTAAATTATGTTATGTTCTAAAGCTGATTTTAATTCAAATAGTAAAAATTCAGATTTGTTATAAGGCTGAACTAGATCTTTTGTTTCATATGTCTGGGGATTGTTTGTACAAGTAATAGAAAATGGATACATGTTCCCAACCCCCCTTGTTCTTAACTCCTCCTGAAATGACTCAGTAAGCAATTAGTAGAGTATGTCTTAAAATCACTATGAAAAATGAGTTGGGAAACAGAAGTTGAATGCATAGTGTCCACAAGAGAGAAATGTTCATGGGTAGTATAAAGTTTCTGAGAAGGTAAGCAATGATGTCATTCAAAGTGCAGAAAAGCTCAGTAAATGATGGCAATTGCGTTCTATAAAGCAATGTCTATTTGTTCTCTGTTTGAAAGGCAATAATTAAAAATTCTGATAATATCCCAGTATTTGTGAAGGTGTGTGGAAATGGATAGTTCAACAGACACAAGAATGCAAATTTAGAGGACAACTGCACATTTCTAAAGTTTAATCTATCATACTTTTTGATCTGACCATCGTCTTTCTAAGCATTTTAAGTACATACTCACATGCTTGCACAAAGATGACCATTTTATATTGTTCAATGCAGAAAAAATTAAAATATACCTCAATGTCCATCAACTGAAAAATATTTAAGTAGATCATAATTCATCAAAACTATGGGATGTATTAGTATACTGTGTTTAAAAGAGTGAAATAGATCTATATACATTAATATGAAAATATTTGCAGGCAATATTGTTTAGTGAAAAAAGCAAAATGAAGAATATGTGAATATGATGTAACTGTAGTAAACACTAACTAATAAAGCTATATATCTCAGTATGTGCATGCATATGTGGTTGTGTACCTAGAAAGCGGTTTGGCAGGGTACACATCCCATTGACATGGCTAGGGACAGGTTTGGGAGAGAGAGGAAAGTAAAGTAAGATTTATATGCACCATCTCTAGCATGTTTTACAAGGAAAATACTTGAGAATTACTTGTATAAATTTAAAATAAGTAAATAACAGTTTTATATCTTGGTGTTACATAGCAGTGCTCTAACCAACTGAGCTAACCAGCCAGGCTTAAATAACAGTTTTAAAAAATATTTTAGGGGAAAAAGGAGAACATAAGAAAGAAGGTAAGGATAGAAGAATTTATAAGGTTATAAAAAATGTTGATTGTGGTTCACAAAGGAAAATCCAGGGAGTCAGCAAAAACGTGTTTGCAATACACTCATACTGTTTGTCTAAAGCATAATGCATCTTAATCAATTGTTTGAGGAACTCTGTTCTGATGGACACTAAGTCATGTAGGATATTAACTCCTTTCCTGATATCCCAACCTCCTAGCACAATAATACCAAGCAGGCATTTAGTGCTCTCAAGGCCCAAGACATGGACAGTAGCACTATGGAAATGCAGTCTTCAGAATCAGGTGGCATTGTTGCATTCTGTGACTCACATATCCCCTCACTCTCCTGGATGCAAAGCTTAACACTCTGCTGATGATCACCATTATTCTCTCTTGTACGTATGATTCATCTTCACTCATCCACATGGTCATTTCCTGTTGAAAACACAAGAGTCATCCTAGAACCATGGTATTCCCATCTCCCAAAGTCCCCTACTTCTAGTGTCCAGCTTCACCAATTCAGAGTTCACTGCAATCTCCTGATTATTTTACATTTAACCTACTTTTATGTCAAAAATATAAAAGACAAACGTTTAGTATACTATGTAATATATACTATAGTAACTAAATCTGAGTTTATTTAATTCTACTCAACAACTATTTATTAAAATCCCCTATAATAGTCACTTCGTTGGGCATCACAAAAAGTTTAGCAAGAGGCTATGATGTGGTTATTTGCTGATACATTAATCTGTGTTCCCAGTATTTCTAGATAGTAGGTCCCTGATGCCATCATGTTAGAAATGCAAAATTGAAGAACATAAGACAGTCAGCATAGTCTTCTGTCTCTGGTTGGGACATTAAAAATGCAGTGAGGTATTGGTTGTGAAAAGTGGGATTTTGGATAGTTGTTAGGTCTTCCACTGAAACAGTGGTATCCATGAAGATAGAATGCCCACAGGATTCCCGAGCCCCAGAGTTGAGAGACACACATATAGACACTGTCACAACATGGTTCATTGTTATGTGAACGTGCAGGTGGGTTAGGCCAACACTATTTTCTGCTACTCTGTATTGTGTTCACCTATATATCACCACATAAGACTTGGCTTCTCAAGTATCTGTTAATGCCATCTCCCCAAAATTGAATTCTTAAAAATCGAATGCTTCTGTAATTTAAATGAAGGGAAGTGATTTCATTTTGGGAGCAATTTCACTCCTAGGAGGGTAAGAAAAAATTTTTAGCTACCAAGTTTTTGCAGAAGATGCAAATATGGCGAATGGAAAATAAATGGACCATAGTAAGTTCTTTAGATTTGTGACAAGAAAACAAAACTGCTTATTTAAACTTTACTTTACCTTTAAGATCTGTAGTTTGTAGAGATCTTTAGACACTAAGATCAGAAGGGTATCCTCATATATGTTTAAAATACTTTGGTATAAATTCTGAAATACAAAGAAAGTTGCACAACCAGCCAGTCAGATAAAAATTTTACCTAATGTCTATAGTTTTGCATCTGGGTGGCCTCAGTTCTCTCTGTAAGCTGAAGATAAGAAAGGAGTGAGGTGTCTATGCTGGTGAGACCTCACCTAATACCATATGCCACCAATCGCTTCTCCAGCTTATGGAGTAAGTGCACTGTGTAGCAATACTGAGGAAAGAAAGACCACGGATATTGCTGGTACCACTATAGGGCTCCATATGCCACCAATCGCTTCTCCAGCTTATGGAGTAAGTACACTGTGTAGCAATACTGAGGAAAGAAAGACCACGGATATTGCTGGTACCACTATAGGGCTCTTTCTACCTCCACAATTTTCTGCTCTTGTTTATGTCTTTGCAGTACTTACCAGTAAACTCCCTGTCCTTGCTAAATCAATTAACTGAAAATATCTTCACCTATTTGTTCCTACAAAATCCATTAAGTCCCAGGGGTTGTAGAATTCACAAGGAGTCCAGGGATAATAGATTAGTGCTAGAAAATACTATTTATCTATTATATATAAGAACAGTGAAGACAGCAAAGCTTATGACCTCCTGAGGCACATTCTGCAGAACTGCTGTGATGCATAACAATGTCTCATCATGATTAAAGAAGGGAAAATCTTACCTCCAGATCTGCAACATCCTCACTGTTTTTCCCCAGTTTTTTCACTTTATCAAGACTTGGTATGGAAACTACCACATTAAAGGATGACTCTATTATCTTCAGTTGAGATTCAAATTGCAGTAAGGGATCCACAAAGCTGACAGGAAAAAGGTATAATTATTCAGTTGATGGGAGAACAAAGGTAACCTAACTTTAGTGGCTTTTTCTTAGTGATAACAGACAGTACTAGAAAATGAGGTCCTGCTTTTGGCTTTATATGAAACATGGGTCTTAATCTCTTAAAAATGACAGTGATACTTTAAATATAAAGAAACAAATTTCTTTGTAAATATCAGCGATAATAAGTAATTTAGAAATCAGAATGTATCTCTTTATAAACATAATAATGTAAACAGTGGTTACATTCTCCACCAAGTCCACAAATCCATGCTAAGGTTTAGGCAGTTGAACTATATTACTGCCATAGTTTCTCTAATTGATGATACTATGTTTTTTGCCACTTTATATTTCTGACATTGGGATGCATCTTCAAATTGATGGCAAATGAAACCTGCCCATCAGCAGCTAGAAGGATAATCTTCCTGTCCATGCAATATAGAAAGACCGAGAAAGAGTATGAGAAAGAAATAATAGTTGTTGAACTAGGATGGTGAAACTTGCAGGATTTTTTTATTTTTCACAATTGTGTTTTTTTCTTATTGTGGTAAAATATGAATAAAATAAGGATCGCCATTTTAAGTATTTTTAAATATATAACTGCATTGAATTAATTATATTCACAGTGTTGTGGGACCACCACCTCTACCTATTTCCAAAACTTTTAAATTATCCTAAACATAAACTGTGTACCCAACAAGCAATAACTACTCATTATTCCTTCTCTTCAGTTTCTGGTAACCTCTAATCTACTACTGTCCTTGAATTTTTTTTTCTTTTTCTTTTTTCTTAATTGACCTATGATAACTGTATACATCATTGCACACTGTATAAATGTACTCAAATATCACATTGATTTTTTAAAAAGATATGACTTTTAAAGATATTTAATCAGTGAAATAAGAGAGCATTTTATTTTACCATACCTGGAGTTCAGGGCCAGGATCATGGCCTGATGACTTAACAGGCCTGAGTATGCATCCCATAGGATGGTAGATGTTTGCACCTAAGTACAATAAAAAATAAAAGAATCAGTGATTACAGACTGGTGAGGTTGATAACATCATGTGTATTTTTCTATTTTAAAGAGACTAAAGGGATCAAATCATACTGGAAAATAAAACCATGTGTTCATAGAAGTGCTGTGACCAAACCATAATTTAAACCCATAAGTGTATGTTGGCCTAAATGGAGGCCTTTTCCAGTACTTATAAAATTAGCATTTCCAGACAGCATTTTCCCAGGTGTACTTTTGTACACCATTATAACTGTTAAATGCAATCTACTTAGTGAGAAGTCTACCTATAAAAATGCTGAAATAACAGTGCAAATCAGGCCTTACTGAGGAATGATTAAATTCACACTATAGAATGAGAGTCACTTATATGTCAATGTACAGCTCCCTAGTACAACTATTTAACTTTTAAAAGTGATAATAAAAGGGATTTCATTAGAAATTTATAATTTTTTTTCAAGAGACTGGTGAACTAGACCTCATTTAGCCAAACCAATCTTGAAAAAGAAGAACAAAGCTGGAGGCATCACATTTCCCTATTTCAAACTATATTACAAAGCCACAGTAGTTAAAACAGTATGAACTGGTGTAAAAACAGACACACAGACAAATGGAATGGAATAGAAAGCCCAGAAATAAACCCATCCACATATGGTCAACTAATATTTAATAAGAAAGCCAAGAATATACAATGGACAAAGGATAGTCTCTTCAATAAATGATGTTGGGAAAATCAGATGTACACATGCAAAGAAACAAAATAAGACACTTATCTTACATCATATACAAAAATTGACTCCAAATGTATTAAAGACTTGAAACTGTAAAACTCCTGAAAGAAAACATAGAGAAAAACCTTCTTGACATTAGTCTTGGTCCTGATATTTTGAATATGATACCGAAAGCACAGGCAACAAAAGCAAAAATAAACAAGGGAGATTTCATCAAATTAAAGTTTCTGCACAGCAAAGTGAACAATTAACAATATGAAAATGACAATCTATGGAATGTAAGAAAATATTTGCAAACTATATATATGATAAGGGGTTAGTATACAAAATATATAAGGAACATAATAGCAAAAATAAATAAATAAAATAGACATTTTTCCAAAGAAGACACAATGGCCAACAAGTTAATGAAAAAATGATCATCATCACAAATCATGAGAAAATGCAAATTAGAACTATAATATCACCTCACACCTGTTAGGATGGCTATTAACAAAAAAGCAAGAGACCAGTGTTACTGAGGGTGTGGAAAAGGGTAACACCTGAACACTGTTGGTGGGAATGTAAATTGCTACAGCCATTATGGAAAACAATATGGAGGTTCCTCAAAAAATTAAAAACAGAACCACCATATGGTTCACCAATCCTACTTATGGTTATATATCCAAAGGCACTTCTTGTGTTCACTGCAGCATTATTCACAAAAGCCAAGATAGGAAATCAACCTAAGTGTCCTTTGACAGATGAATGGCTAAAGAAAATGTAGTATATATAAACAGTGTAACATTTGTCAACCACAGAAAAGGATGTGCTGCCATTGGTGACAGCACAGATGAACCTGAAGGACATTATGGTAAGTGAAATAAGCCAGACACAGAAGGAGAAGTAGTATATCATCTCACTTATCTGTGTAATCTGAAAAAAGTGGAGTTCATAGAAGCAGAGCATAGAATGGTGACTATCAGGGGCTTGAGCAGGGTGAGGGGAATGGACAGATTGTTGGTCAAAGGGTACAGATTTTCAGGTAAAAAGATAAGTAAGTTCTGGATAATGTCATGTATAGCATGATGATTTAGTTAATAATACTTCACTGTTTAGTTGAAATTTGCTAAGAGAGTAGATCTTAAGTGTCATCGCTACACACACGCATACTACACACTCATACTACACACACATACTACATACACATACTACACACACACACACAATGGTAACTAAGTGTGGTAATGGGTGTTATTTAATTTGACTCTAGTTACCATTTCACAATGTATATGTATATCAAATCATCAGATTGCACAAATTGAATAACTGTAGAAAGCCTAATAGAATAGCATCTCTTTTCTTCTGTGTACTCCTCTTGTTCATACAAGCATATGTCTCAATGTAACATTCTTTTGTTTTTCAAATTGAAGCATAATTGATTATACATATTTTGGGGGTACAGTGTTGACTGTGAGTATTTGTGCTCAATATGTGATGATCAAATAAATATTAGCATGTTCATTATTACAAATCATAGTTACTCTTTTTGCCCCTTACCCAATTTCTTCCTAACATTCCCTCCCCCTCCCCCTTTCCCACCTCTAGTAACCACAGGTCTATTCTCTTCTTCTGAAATCTTATAATGTTATTGTGGTCTTTCTTATTCTTCTTTGCTTCCATTTGTTTCATTCCTTCTTTCTTAATTCCCACTTATGAGTGAGGATGTGTGGTACTTGTCTTTCTGTGCCTGTCTTATTTCACTTAACATAATTTTCTCCAAGTTCATCCATGTTGATGCTAATTGCAGAACTTCATCATGGCTGAGTAGTATTCCATCATGTGTATACACCACATTTTCCATATCCAGTTGTCTGTCAATGGACATTTAGGTTGGTTCCATATCTTGGCTATTGTAAACAGAGCTGCAATGAACATGGGCGTGCATATATCCCTTTGACATGATGATTTCCATTCCTTTGGGTATATGCCCAGCAGTAGAGTTGCTGGATTGTATGGGAATTCTATCTGTAGTTGTTTGAGATACCTCAAAACTGTTTTCCATAGTGGCTGTACTATTTTACAGTCCCACCAACTGTGTAGAAGAGTTCCTCTTTCTCCACATCCTCACCAGCATTTGTTATTCTCAGTCTTTTTGATAATAGCCAGTCTGGTTGGGGTGAGATGGTATCTTAGTGTGGTTTTGACTTGCATTTCCCTGATGCTAAGTGATGTCGAGCATTTCTTCATGTACCTGTTGGCCAATGTTATCTAGTCAAGTTGGAAAAGGTAATACTGACTTAGCAAAAGTAACCCACAGAGAAACACAGACATACTGGCAAATAGACTCTTGAAGGCAAGATAGTGTATATTGGTCACTGCTGATCTAGTGATGATAATATGCACACATTTTTAAAAAAACCTCCAAGAGTTCTTTTTAATATCACTACTGAAAAGACATTTAAAAATAGCATTTAGAGAGGCCCGGCTCTGCTGCCCCGAACCGGTACCGTGCAGGTGAGCCTGCCGGTGCCAGCCAGGCAGCAGAACTGCGGGGCTCCTTGTGCCCCCCATCCTGCCACCTTGGACTCAGGCAGAGGTGGAGCTCCAAGCCCCACCCCACCACCCTGAACCAGCACCATGCAGGTGAGCCTGCTGGTGCCAGTCAGCCAGTGGAACCACATGGCTCCACCTGGCCCCTCATCTTACCTCAGACACAGGGGGGAGCACCAGCCTACAGTTCTGACCCACCGAGTTTGGCCCAGCAGAACTCCACACGTTAGGGGCTCATTCAATGACCACAGAGTCTAGAATGGGAACCAAGTTGGTTTAACATAACCACCACCACACCTACTGTCAAGTAAGACAGTTCACCCCTGGCAGTAGCAACCAAGGCTACTCCACAGCCAACCTCAGTGTAATAGAAGAAGCAAACCCCCTTCCAAATGACCAAGCATCAGTGAAAAAACACTAGAAGTACAAATGATAAAGAAGAAATGACACCACCAAAAGGATACACTAATGCCCCAAAGTCAGACTCCATGGAACAGGGAATCCTTGAAATGTCTGAAAAAGAATTTTGAGTAATGATCTTAAAAAAACTTGAAGAAATAAAGGAAGACTCAGTTAGAGAACACAATGAAACAAGAAAAAGCATCCAGAATATGAAGGAGGAAATCTACAAAGAGATTAATACCATAAAAAAGAGTGTAGCAGAACTTCTAGAAATGAAAGACTCACTCAACAAAATAAAAAAACACAACTGAGAGCTTGATCAGTAGGGTAGAGCAAGCAGAAGAAAGAATTTCAGAGCTTGAAAATGGTCTTTTTGAAATAACTTGGGCAGACAAAAAAAAAAAAAGGAAAAAAATTTAAAATAATGAGGAAAACCTAAAAGAGATAGCAGACAATCTCAAGCACTCTAACATCCAAATTGTGGGTATTCCTAAAGGGGAAAGGGAAGGGAAAAGGTATCGAAAATGTATTTAAGGAAATAGTAACAGAAAACTTCCCAGGTGTAAGGTGAGATACAGACCTTCAGATCCAGGAAGCTCCAAGGTCTCCAAACAGATTCAACCCAAAAAGATCTTCCCCAAGATATATTATAGTTAAATGTGCAAAGCTCAAAGACAAAGAGAGAATTCTACAAGCAGCAAGAGAAAAGCATCAGGTCACTTATAGGGGAACCCCCATCAAACTAACAGCAGACTTCTCAACTGAAACCCTGCAGGCCAGAAGAAACTGGAATGATATATTCAAAATGATAAAAGAAAAAAACTGCCATCCAAGAGTTCTTTACGCAGCAGGCTCTCCTTCAGAAATGAGAGTGAAATAGTGTCCCAGACAAACAAAAGTTGTGGGAGTTCACCACCATACGAACAGCCCTGCAAGAAATTCTCAAGGGAGTCATTCATCTGGATTCTGAATAATGGTGACCATCATCACGAATACACAAGAAAGAGCAAAACCCACAGTTAAAACAAAAATGCCAGCAAGAAGGACAAAGAAACTAAACCATTTCACTTTAAATCCCCAACTCACATTGAAGAAGCGAAATAAAAGGGGAAATAATGATCAAAAGATATTTAAACCACCTAAATAGCAATTAAATGACAGGAATTAAACAACACTTCTCAATAACTACTAGAAATGTGAATGGACTAAACTCCCCATTCAAAAGACACAGACTAACTGACTGGTTTAAAAAGATAGACTCAAGTATATGCTATCTTCAAGACACCCACCTCACCTGTAAAGACACTCATAGACTAAAAGTGAAGG